GAGAGCATTCAAAGGAAACATGCTAATAAAGAGTAAATGTCAATGTACTACCAGGGCACACTGGTGGCAACACTGCTGTGAAACTCAAAATGGGGCTCAGTGTCAACTAAGTACGAAACTTATATTAAAGTTATATATATATATATATATATATATATATATATATATATATATATATATATATATATATATATATATATATATATATATATATATATATATATATATATATATATATATATATATATATTCTTTCCAATAAATTTCTAAAATTTAGTTCAATAACAGGTCTGTTTCTATTACTTATACTGTATATTACTCCGTATTAATTATATCTTGCTATATTTTCCATCTATAAAATATACAATAGTTCTTACACTCCCCCTTTCCTGACAAATAATAATGAAAACTCCATCCTCAGTGTCCAATGATATATTTTATATGGTGGCACCATTTACATTTCTGAAATTAAATATGATAGATATGTATGAGTTAAGTCTCCATTCCAACACCAGAAAAACGGACAATACTGATGCTATTTATCTGCCTCAACCCAGAACTTCCTGAAGGTGAGACCTGCTTAATATTGATATAAATCCTGTAACCTGGAGAGTCGCAGTGAACTCCAGATATAAATCACCCACCCTGAACCATTTCTTCATCCCTGAATTATTGATTAGTGTGTACAATATTTAAGGTTAGTTCCTTTCCTTAATTAGATCTCACTCATGATAATGGATATGTGGATAACTATGATAAACGTTTTCTTTCATTGACTGTACAGTACATCCTATGTAAGTGAGGATTAAATAGCTCCTATCGTTAAACTCGGATTATACTTATATTAATTACCTCAAAACCTAATATCAATGTAGTTATGGTAAAAAATTCATCTCTATGTCCTTTGTTACTGCAGTTAGTAGTCGAGGGCGCAATTTTCAAGTTTTTAATAGTTGTTAGTTACTCACAGTTCATTATAATAAATGAGTGAAAGGTAATACGAGTAGTAGTTACATCAGAGGCAACGATACCTGGTAGAGGAGCGGCAAAGTGTTGAAAATTGGCATGAGGATTCAACATGGGTTAATTATCAAATCTCCCTCATTCGACAATGAAAATTCCAAGATGGCCACCAAAAGCGGATGTCCGATTTTCCTTTTAGGATTAAAGTTTATTGTGTTCATCAATTCAGGTGATTTCAGTGTTGATTTCCGTGTTTTTGAGTACGTAGAACCTGAATTTTGTGTTGAAAACTCTGAAATGGAGAGCATTCAAAGGAAACATGCTTATAAAGAGTAAATGTCAATGTACTACCAGGGCACACTGGTGACAACACTGCTGTGAAACTCAAAATGGGGTTCAGTGTCAACTAAGTACGAAACTTATATTAAAGATTAATTTATATATATATATATATATATATATATATATATATATATATATATATATATATATATATATATATATATATATATATATATATATATATATATATATATATGTGTGTGTGTGTGTGTGTGTGTCCGTGTGTTACCTAATTAGCCTCAAATAAGGTTAGGTAGCCGCACCCGAATTGACAGAATGTACCAGCGTGGGAGAGCCGAGCCAAGGGTAATGGGGTTAAAGTTAGGGCAATCAATTGATTAAACCTAGTTGTATCTCATAGAAGGAAAGTACGCATGATACAGAGTGGTAAAAGGAAAAACATTCGACTCTGTACCACAATGGCGATGAATATTGGTCCTAAAAGTAATCCTGGGCCATGTGCTGTCTGTGTCATGATATAAAAAGGAAGAACTTAAATCTCCAAGGACTAACGCTACTAGAAGAGAGAAAGATGGCTACAGCAAATTAGCCAAGAATATTCCTCTTTTCAACTCAATCAATGCCCTTCCAATAAGGCTTGATATGGAAACACTAGATGATGGAGATGGTATTGCAGAGACAATGAGGAAAAATACTGCCAAATATCATGGGAGCTGTAGATTTAGGTGAGCAACATAATGTTGCAAAGAGCCCAAAAAGAGCAACCACCTCTGTAGTTGACAGTGATGAAGGTTGCCGAAGTAAGGTGCTATGAAAGCCAAGAGACACAAAAAACACAACAGAATGCTTTTTGTGTGACAAACCAGCACCAGAGAGTGCTCTCCGTCAAACAATGACAATGAAACTCAGTGACAGCGTCAATGAATGTGCAAAAAGACTCAGTGACAAAAGATCCCTTGCTAACTTAGTGCAAGAGATGTAGTGGCACAAGAGGTGAAATTTTACCCTGCTTGCTGAGCTGCACTGTACAATAGAGAAAGAGCTTATCTTAGTGCAAAGGATACGAAAAAAACACAAAGAACCATGAAAAAAAGATGAATATTCACTGGCTTTCTCTGAATTGGTGACATACATCAATGAGACAAAAACTGCATGTGAAGGTTCTCATGGAACAATTTTTAGACTAGCAGACTTAGTCTTACTGTACAAGCAAAGACTCGAACAACTTGGTGTCGAATCGCCTGAAATTTATTCTACTAGGCTTAAGAACCAATTAGTTTCACATATTCCTCAACTGGGAGCTCACAGTCAAGGAAGAGATGTTTTGCTAGCATTCCAAGAGGATGTAGGCTCCATCCAGGCTGAGGTTGGCAAATACATTGAAGCTGTTCATTTGGCCAAGGCTGAGAAAATAATAAGGCAGAATATGCTCAAACACTAGTCAAAATTCCTAACCATACTTGATGATAGAAGTATCGAATATGCAGCTCCTTCATCAGTTATGAGTGAACATGGTACAGATAATAAATCACAAATTCAGCATGGAGCATCCAAGTCAGTTGTTGCTATGTCATTAGCAACCATAATACGTCTCTAGAAGAGTTGATGCCATGCTCCCATGAAGAGGCAGATACCCGCCTCTTTGTACAAGCAAGACAAGCTGTAATGGAAGGCAGTAAAATGAGTTCTCATAAAAGCCAATGACACAGATATCATTGGTCTTGGAGAAATGTGGATTTCTTATGGTCATGGGGCTTAGGGACTTATACAAGATGGATTCCTGTTCATGAGTTAGTTGTAGCCATAGAGCCTGAAAAAGCCACTAGAATCACATTTTTCCATGCATTCGGTGGTTGTGATGTTGTGTCAGCCTTCCTTGGAAAAGGTAAGAAGCCTGCATGGCAAACATGGAATGTGTTAAACGAGTTCTCCAGTACCTTCATCAAACTCAGTCAGTGTCTTACATCAGTTAGTGAAGAAGACCTCCGTGTCTTAGAAAGGTTTGTGGTGGTGATGTAAGACAGGTCTAGTCCACCATGTAAAGCGTGCAGCCTATCAAGGTGGAATGATTTGGAGGTCAGGTAACTGCAGCACAATCAGACATTCCAAGTCCTGCTAACTGGGGCAGCGAGTTGTCAAGAACTGACCAAGTGTTCTTGCAAGAAAGACTGTGGATAGCGATGTAAATGTATCAGCTCAGGTCCCACTTGCACAGCTCTGTGTGCATGCACATACCAGCAGCTGTAAATATGAAAGAATTCTTATAGCAATATCTCACAAGGATATGAGCAAAAGATAAACATGTTTCTCATTGTTTAACTGAGAATTGCTTACACATTTTATGAAAAGAGGTAAAAATATGTGTTGAACCGCTACTTTATGCATACAAGACATATCTGAGTGTTCCAAAACAATCATAATCTGTTCCAGCATGCTTTAAAACATAAGAAAAGACACCTTATGTGCACAGATTGCCCAATAATAGGCCAATATATGTACAAATTGTTTTCAGTTTGGCAAATTTGGCGGCCATCTTGGAAAATGGCTACATCTTGGAATTTTTAATGTTCAATCGGATAGATTTGATAAGTAACCCATTTTTAATGTTTATATGAAATTTCATGCTTGTATGATCATTTATGATTTACAGGATTACTGTTATCCGCTCCGTTAATAATGTCAGGGGAACAGAATAGCAGTGGGGTTTGTGTGTTTAAGGCAAATAAGATAACCTTTATTTTTCTAAGGAATTTTCAAAGCTAAAAATGGATTTAAGGACTATAAATATTACCTTCAAATGCTCTACCCTTATGATCCCCAGACACAACGTGAAGGTCGTTCTCCAAGGGGCTGGCAATGAAGGCTCACAAATGGGATAATTTCTGCAGCTTTTTCACAACACTCAAAGATTTTCATAAGTGACAAAGCTCCATGAGGTGCCGCCTGTTATATAGCAGAAGTTAACAAATTTAATCTTTTCAAATATGAAGTTTGTGTTACTCAATTGGTTAGTGGAGCTTAACTGACTAATGAGGAAACAGTCATGCAGTCAGCCATCACCTGAGGGAGGTATAAAAGCACTCACCTAGACTTCTCTACATACAGTCAACAACTGAACTTGATCCTCCCAACATCGGTATGGTAAGACTTATTATGAATTAAGTAATTTATCATCGTCTTCTATAAGTGCATTCTTCACTTATCTTATTAATAACAGTTCAGCTCATCAGCAAGACGAGTAAAGGAGTTGCTGGTATAGGTGAAGGTATAGGCACAAGTTCAAGACAGATTTGAAAATTATATTTTGAACTAATGGTTTCCAGCTTCACCGTAGTAAATTATGTGCAAAAGAAAACTTTATATCAGACAAATGTTACACATATCGTGTTTTTTGCACTCAAATAAATAATACTCTTCTCTGTCATTGTTAGTGAAGTTTCAGTGAAGCAAACCTTTTCTCGTTGATTTACAGAAAGTAACTGACCTAACATCTCTGTGGTAAAAGAACTTATTTATAGTACCATTATATTAACTGATAATAATAACCTTAATACAAATAGTTTATCTCTGACAATTTCAGACGCAGTTGTTTGTGACCATGGTGGTGGGGCTCCTGGCTGTGACCTGCCCTGCCAAGCCAGAAGGGCATGGTGGTGGCGGCGGTGGCGAAGGTGATGGCGGCGGGTATGGTGGTGGCGGTGGTGGTGGCCATGGAGGTGGTAGCGGAGGCAGACATGACGGCTCCAGCGGCGGCGGTGGCGGGTATGGCAGCTACAGCGGCGGCGGTGGTGGGTATGGCGGCTCCAGCGGCGGCGGTGGTAGGTATTGCGGCTCCAGCGGCGGCGTTGGTGGCGCCCAGCGGCGGCGGTGGCGGGTATGGCAGCTACAGCGGCGGCGGTGGTGGGTATGGCGGCTCCAGCGGCGGCGGTGGTAGGTATTGCGGCTCCAGCGGCGGCGTTGGTGGGTATGGCGGATCCAGCGGTGGTGGTGGTGGGTATGGCGGCTCCAGCGGTGGCGGTTATGGCGGTTCTAGTGGCGGCGGCTATGACGGTGGGAGTGTAGGTTATGGAAAATAAATGTAAACATAAAGAAATGAGATACACCAATACTAAGTTTCCTGAACTCTTCTTCGTCAGTTTGTGTCTTGTGATTCTTGTGTTGTAATAATAAAACTTAAACGACTGTGAAAATAACTTTGATTTACCCCAACTTCGCTCTCCTGACATCACTTACCAAGTGTGGTATAAGAGTAAATAAAGTGTAATGTACACATGTGAATTATAATAATAAACACATAGCTCTACTGTATTAACAATTTCTACAGTTAGGTGTAAAAGAAATGTAGTTGTTTGTTTTTTGTGATGTGCAACTTAAGTTATTTTATGATATACTATAAACATCTTCATTTTATCTCTACATGAATAAAAAGATGCCGACAAAGATTTTTTTTCAATTACTCAGTTTAAAATTTACCCTTTTCACATAAATGTTAAAATGATACATTATTAAAAGACGCTTACTTATTCTTATGTTAAAACTTGATGTAGAAATTCCCATAACTTACTTGCTAATACAGTACAGTTATTACTTCCACTAACTATGAGATCAGGGTTTTCTGAATATCAGTGGAATATTTAAATAGTATCAGTAAATGTAGCGGGATCATACTTCTCAAATTCTATCCAGGATAAGAGATTAGATGTATCTGTATTTTTATCGGCTTATAAAAATGTTTTTTAATGTCTTGGGAAGGAAAAATCAATATTCTCCCCACAAGACATAATAAACTTATTTAACCCTATGGAATAAATTTTAATGTTCATTTTGGAATATATTGAGAAGTAAGATAAAATTTCACTTAAAAATCTTTATTATTAGGGGAAAATAATGACCCTGAAGAATGATCTTTTATTGTCTATACTCTAACAAGTAACAGAATTGCCACTTAGGGTGTTAGAGGCACAGATTCTTATAATATATTATACCTGGAGTGATGATAATTACTCTGTACCTGTAGTGATAATAATTACTATGTACCTGGAGTGATAATAATTACTATGTACCTGGAGTGACACACACTACACCTTCTTTCATTTGCAATTGAACAATTGACCACTTGCCTTTAACAATCAAGATTTTGGAATGACAAATTTCTGTTTGCTTTCAACTATTTTCCGAATCCATTCAACAATCAGTTATTTTGATTTGACAATTTACAAAACCTTTCAACAGCCACATATCTCCGATTGCTTTCAACAGTCAACCAAACTTTTCAACAATGCGACTGAAACAATCATCATTGAAAAGAATTTATTCAACATTCTTTAAAATCAGTAACAGCCATGAATATTTAATTTTTGAGTATACTTACACAAACATCAACAACACAATGAATTCTGGTATAAACATATGTAATTATGTAATGCCTTTAGTCTTTAGTATGTAGAAGCTACATAAAACATACGATTGCTTAAAAAGAAACAAAGAAAAAAGGGCCTTATACTAATAGCTAAATACATTGGTGTCATGATACTTCGACGAAGCAATTCACAGTAAAGGCCTCGTTCACCTTGGTGGGTTGTTTCTGCCTGGCTGTAAGGTAGGGATGAAGGTAAGTGAGGGTGGGAGGGGTAGTGGGATTGGGGAGAGGAGTGTCATATCAGCATCCCGTTGACTTGCCTTCCTCCTCTGCCTCACGAATAGTAACCTGTCAGGTAAAAAAGAACCCATGAGTGTATAGAAGGTTTTTGTTGTGAATTGTTTCAAGTGGAACAAACGGTAAGGCAGTAGGTTATACTATATTACTGTAGACCTACTGTATATCAATTGAAGAAGTCTCGGCGCTCAATACATTGAACCAAGTAGGTGTTGACATGGTTATAGTTCTGTGACACAACATGTTCCGTGACACTAGGCAGTGCAAATTCCACGCCAACTTGCAAAATGTTCTCCCTCAGTGCATTGAGAGTCACTCCTTCTTGCCTGGCGTGGGCCGCGTTGCACCGTGGAGCTTCAATGGTGAAGGTACTGCTTCAGGTATGATTTAAACACAGAGAAACAGTTTTCTATGGGGTTCAAGCAAGGAGAGTATGGAGGGAGAAATTTGAAATTCAGCTCGGGATAGACTGCTGCGATACCGTTGTGAATTGGAGCGTTGTCTAGAACAAGTATGGATCTTGCGTCTCCGATTATTGCTGCAAGTGATGCGATGAAATCACTGAATACTTCCTTCGTCACTGAACCATAGTGAATTTCGTGATAGAGTATTCCACAGTGTTCAGCTATCGCAGCAATCACTGTCGTGTTTCTGCCACGCTGTCCACCAACGGCGCGATGCACACGCTCCCCGCGTCTTGCCCTGCCGTACGTCCTCTTGGTCCACAGATTGAACCCTGGAAATGAAACATCAGTGTATGTAGTCATACTGTAATGTAATTAAATATTAACACAAGGAAAGTTGTAAGATGCATCAAACTGAGATCAACATTAAGTACTCACTCGTTACATACAGTTTACTTAAGTAATTATGTAGTACATACTACAGATAGTTGATAAGTGGTTACATAATTACATATGTCTCATCAATATATACTAGTTGCTGTTGTAGACCCGTCGCCAGCATCCACGTAGCGTACGCGTGTCTCGCCTCCTTTACTGCGGGAGAATTTCTTTCTGCTGGGGAGTCACGGGACATTTTCAGTGATATCAGCTCCCCCTCCAAATAATGCGAAAGCGTTACCTCACTGAAATGTGGTTTTGTAGGAAATATATCCATGACCTCCTCCTTTATCTCTCTCAAGGTCATCATAGGGTTTGCTTCAAGCAGCATCA